AAAATCTGGTTAATAATTTTTTTTTTACTATAATCCAACAGAGGAACAAACAGAAGCTAATATCCAAAGGCAAAATTAGATGGCTTCTATAGTCCGTCATCCAGCCATCCCTCTCTTCTTCTTTCTTATCTCCACTCAAATCATATTAGGGTATCACGCTTGTAGAGCTTGAGATCATGACTGGGTGAAGTAGAATGCGTATGCCTTTGTCATTAAGACTGGGAGCACTACTTATTTTTATTTTCGCTCTTATTTTTAGGAATCTGGCCTTAAGTGTTCACATTTTTATTTTGTTCACTTGTTTCTGTAATCTTTTTTAATCATAGGCTTAAAATACGTATGTTACTAATGAAGGTGGCATTTGCCACCTAATTGGTTTCCTACCATCACTTGTCAGCCAATGAGAGAGAGAGAGTAATATATATATTTACATATGTATGTACAATACTTTTAATGAGCTTCATTTGCACAATGCCACCACCGTTGTTAAACCTCTCCTGGCTCATCTCAATGATAGAAGTACAGTTAAACCTGTCTATAGCGCCCCCTCTAAATAGCGCCTTCCTCTCTATAGCGCCCGATTTTAAATACGTAGTACGATGCGATTCACATTAAAAATGACCTCTCTATAGCACCCTATTTTGGTGAGTCCCAAGAGGGAGCGCTATAGACAGGTTTAACTGCATATATATATATATATAGTATGGGAAAAAAATAATAAAAAATATTAAAAAAAAGAAATGGGTATTTGTGTCATGTTAGTGGTAAGTTAACAGAGGTTTATCTACTTTGTGGCCTTTTGTCGAGAGTTTTCACTGTAGTTGTTGTGACTTTATCCAATTTGTGGGTTCTTATCAAGTTATGTGGTTACAGCTGAGGTATGTGTGTGCAGACTGCAGACCTGGCCAATGCAGATGCCAGTGAGAGTGACAAGATCAAAGCCATGTTTGGACAATCTGGGCATGAATATGAAGTGGGCAGGTGAGAGGTCTAATTGTCTTCTTGTGGCCAACCGTACATAATATATTTATATATAAGGGCGTACCTATATCTGTAAATAAAAAAACATTTTTTTTTCTCAAAAATTTTCGAGAGTTTGCTCCCTCTTTTATCAATTTATTGCACAGTAAACTTAATTTACAAATTCTTGTAGATAACATGGAAACAGCATTTTCCGGCATTGTATCTTCTAATATATTTTGTATCTTAGCTCTCTGATAATTGGTATTCTCCTGTCAACCTTGCATCTAGAGAATGGTTCCTCAGCAATGCTTGATTGAAATATTTTTGATTAATTTTCACTCTTGAAACCAAATTAATTATTGCTAAGTAAATAAAATCTAAAGTAGGGCCAAGTTTGATATTTCAACTTTCTTTGGAGGGAATTAGGACTATAAATAAGTTTGTGTAGTTTTTTTTTGAAAATTGAAGCTTCATTATAAAAAATTGGTTAGATATTCAATGTTCAAAGTATTGCCCGTAGCTAGCCACTACTTTTTTCCCATCTTTCTGGCAATTGACGGATCCCATCGCTGAAAAAGGCCGGCTCTTTGGCCGCTATCCATTCATCAATCCATTTTTTGACTGCATCATAAATGAAGAAGTCCTGGTCAGCCAGGCCATGTTGCATTGATTGGAAGAGATCATAATAAAAAGGAACAATGTCTGGGCTTTACGGCGGGTGGGGTAGGACTTCTCATTTGAGCGTTTCTAAGTACGTTTTAACGGGTGCTGCAGCATGTGGCTGAGCATTATCATGTTGCAATATAACTTTGTTACGTCTATTGGCGTATTGCAGCCATTTTTATCGCAATGCTCGGCTCAAACACATCCATTGTCTTTGGTAGAGCTCCCCTGTGATACTTTTGTTCGGTTGTAGCAGCTCAAAATATACCACTCTTAGCTGGTCCCACCAAATACACAGCATAATCTTCTCATCATGAATATTTGGCTTGGCTGTCGATGATGAGGCCTGGCCAGGGTATACATACGTTGCCCGGAGTATCGTAATGGACCAATGGACCCACTTTTCATTACCAGTTACAATTCGATGCAAAAACCTCTTTCTCTTTTGACATTGGAGCAGTTGCTCACTCATCCTCAAACTTTAGTGGCGTTCCTGGTCTTTCTTCATCTTCCAAATCAAAATTGCCACTTTTAAACCGTGCAAACCACTTCTGACACATTATTTGGTACAAAAGTTGACATTTTAGGATCAAACAAATTAGGTTGTTTCCACTTCAGAGCTTCATGCTTCAAAAGCAAAAAAAAAAAAAATCATACTTATTTCATCAGCATGACAAGTAATAAAATCCTAATTATTAGCATAAATATCCTGGCGGAAAAAAAAATGCTGTATAGTTTTTTTTTTTCCTTATCCCTAGTACACGTGGTACAGACCATGATAATCATGGTGGGTAGTTAGCGACTGCTTTTTACTGTAAGCGCACCACATGTCTACACATGTGAAAGCAGTTCGACTTTGCACTTACAAATGTGCCAGAACCCCGTTTGGTTACTTGCACTCGCTGGTGGGGTTGGACTTTTGCAAGAATCGGGGGGGCCATTGGAGCATTTTTTTTTTTTAAACAGAAAAAAGTGTCCAATGCGGGGATCGAACCCGGGTCGTAGTGGTCGTAAACCAAACGGTTTAACCAGCCTTCCACCAACCCCCCCATGGTGTATAGAAAATGACTGAATGGAGTGACCATTGGTACCTTCTTACAGTGGGATTGACCACATATGTGACTGCAGGTTGAAGGCCAGGTCCATGGTGGGTCCTCTGCCCCCCAACTACTCATGCTTCCGCTGTAACCAGCCTGGCCACTGGATCAAGGACTGCCCCACCAACAATGTAAGTACACCAATATTTGTGCACTCTAGCCACAGAAATACTCTTTGAATTTACATATAATTTTCAATTATATTTGTTGTTGTTGTTGTTGTTTCTTATCCCCTTGTGTAAAGATTACACAAATTCCATGAGTTCATGCTCCTCGAGCTAATCTCATGGAATGGGGTGTAGGGGTGCAGCTTTCGTTGATCATGGCACCATGATCAAGGTACACTTTGGTGAAAGTATGACTTTGCCTGTAGTTTGAGGCCCTTCCTAACATGGAAGCAGACGCCTTTGCTGCCGACTCTAACATGAGTACAGACGCAGCTCCTCCGTATCCCTGGAGTGGGACCCTTGCTGAGGTCTATCAACTGGGTCAGTCGAAGTAAGGATTTTTAAAGAGGTCTACTCCTCTTCTAACAATGCTGCTGTTGGTCCGCGACTGCTTATTCGTCAGTTATTCTGCTTGTTTCGCAGCTGGCCTTCATATCTGAAGGTCGTTCCCCTATCCGCCACCTGGGGACGCGCCCTATAGCAGTCAGCTCTGCCAAGGGAATTATATTTGTAATTGCCAACATTGCATTAAGTTAAAGACTCCTGATTTACCCCAGGGTAAGGGAGAATTCAGTAACTACAAACAGTATCTAACCTCTTTAATTCCACACCCCAAGGGATCAGATCTTTCGGGTGAATTAGTTGGTAAAGTTTTGAATTTAAGTCAGATGATTTCATCACAACATTCACTGCTAGTTAACATTTTCCTAGGATAGCCACAAATTTATAATTAAAATATTTTTAGAAAATACTGTTATATTTTGTTGTTGTTTCTTATCCCCTTGTGTTGTAAATTTTATACAAATTCCATGAGTTCATGTTCCTCTAGCTTAATCTCATGGAATGGGGTGTATGGGTGCAGCTTTCGTTGATCATGACACCAGTAATATTTTAATTAATAATGTTAATTAACTTTTAGTGATGTATAAAATTGAATTAATACAAAATGTTCAAAAATTGAACAAAGGAAAAATGATAAATATTCTTTCAAAATAAGTGATAAATTTGCGACATTATACTGTATATTGAATTTTACAATTAAAAAAAAACAACCTGTTTTATGTTTACTTTTGATAAGTATTTTGTGTGCCAAAGAAGTTACTACTTTTGGACTTGACACCCTTTGAATCTGAAACATTATAAATAGGAAGTTTATTGTATATTAGTCTTGAAGTTCCTTAAGATTATTGATTGCTTAATATTACTTTCTTTAATAGGGTCGGTGGAAGGATGGTTTAAACCATTGGTTTTCAACTGCTAAGATCCGGGTTCAATTCCCGAATTTGGCACTTTTTCTGATAAAAAAAAAAAAATGCTTCAATGGCCCCCAATTCTTGCAAAAGTCCAACCCCACCAGCGAGTGCATGTAACAAAACGGGGCTCTGGCACATTTGTGAGTGCAAAGTTGAATTGCTTTTCGCATGTGTAGACATGTGGTGCACTTACAGTAAAAGCAGTCGCCTACTTCTACCCACCATGATGGCCTGTACCACATGTACATGATAAGCAAAAAGAAAAAAATAAACTTCTCTAAAGTGACCCCCTTTTTGTAAACATTTCTCTATTTTCACAAAATTAAAAGTGACCTCTAGGAATATAAGACATGATAGGTATGGCAACCTCACTGACATGACATGTCCACAGATGGATATCAAGAGGAGCACAGGAATTCCCAGAAGTTTCATGGTGCCAGTTGATGGCCCCAATGCCAAAGGGGCCCTACTTACCAGCAGTGGGGAGTATGCTGTGCCCCTGATAGACCAGTAAGTACCCTGACAGGAGGATGAGCAGTCTAACTGAGTTGTGTGACCACAGCCTGGCCTACCAGGAGGTTAAGAAGGAGAAGCCTTTCTACAAGGAGCAGGAAGTGGTGGTGAAGCCCAGGCCTGAGGTGCCTTTAGATATCCAGTGCTACCTCTGTAAGGATCCCATGAAGGATGCTGTCTACACTCCGTGCTGTGCAGAGAACTTCTGTGATGAATGTAAGTAATGCTTACACTAGTAGTTTATTACCTAGTTGCATGGGGGGTTCTTCATTATCTTGTATTGTTTTTACATACATATCTCTTTAAATGGTACTTGAGGAAGAGACCAATAATCACTCCTACTAGTCCAATTAACTAAAGATTTGGGGGTCCGTGGAAGGCTGGTTAAACCGTTTGGTTTTCGACCACTAGGACACGGGTTCGATTCCCGCATTGGACACTTTTTTTCTGTTTAAAAAAAAAAAAAAATGCTCCAATGGCCCCCCCGATTCTTGCAAAAGTCCAACCCCACCAGCGAGTGCAAGTAACCAAACGGGGCTCTGGCATTTGTAAGTGCAAAGTCGTACTGCTTTTCACATGTGTAGACATGTGGTGCACTTACAGTAAAAAGCAGTCGCTAACTACCCACCATGATTATCATGGCCTGTACCACGTGTACTAGGGATAAGCAAAAAAAAAAAACTAAAGATTTAATGCCACTTTGTGAGTAATTCACAAATGTTCAGAGATGACAAAAAGAACATCATTTCTTTTGCACTTTGCACTTTCAAAAGGAAGAAATGTTTTATATTGGCTTTTTATGGGTGGGGTGGGGGATGCATATTCTTGTGCAAATAATTTCCGTACCCATGTTGTAGCCTCATTCAATCATATTAGGGTGTAAAAGCCTTGATGGTGTTTGCGGGGGATGAGTAGAGCTCATCAATGATTGAGCTATTGCAGCCAGTGATGTAGTTTGGGTGTTGCAAGTTGAGAGTTCACTTGGTGGGAATCATTGCAACCATTCGAAGAAGGTCAATGTCCGTAGATAACCAGACTTTGATTCTTAAAATTAAGAACAGCTGTTCCCTTGGGAGGATAGAATTGATGCAGGTCCCTTCCCAGTCATGTGCTGCTGCTGCAGATTTCTGTTTTTTTTTTTTTTTTTTGGCATTGGCCTTGATGGTATGGAGGATTGCATCTAGTAGGGTCTGATAGTCATTTTAGTGTCAAAAGCAAAGAAATATCTTGAAAAATATCTTCATTTCGCCCTGACTAAAAGCTAAATCAAGCTCTTAAAGATTACAAAGCTGCATACAACAAACTATTTCAAAATAGTCATGTAAAGGAAAAAAGTGCCACTACCACAGATATTGGTTTTATTTTTTATTGCACAAGTAGCATTTTAATAATGTTTGCTTATTATCAATCTAAGGGGAAAACATGGATTGAAAGAATCCACCTTGACATGGCCAGGTCTCTGATGAATGACATGTTTTTTAGGCTGTCTCTCATGCAAGATTACTGTCCATCTAAAATTTTGGCCAGGTTTATAACTGAAATTACACCAATAGAAACAGTCAAATTATTGGAAATACAGTAAAATCCCTCTATAGTGAACCCAAATGAGACGGACTTGTTCACTATAGCCATGGTTTAGCCTTTTTTTCTTTCAATTTTTCAGTTTTACTTGAGCATACATGCTTATATATATATACCTCTACGTATAATTTATCAATTCCCCTAGGCAAAGCTTTATTGATTATATATTTTAAAAAGTATTTTAGAACATCTTTATCAAATAATATAATATTAAAAAATACTAAATATAATATACTAATTTAAACTATAATACTAAATACTAAAAAAATGTCTTTAATGACCTTGTTGTATGAAAGTGAAAAGTCAAATTTGAAAATCAGAATTGTCTTAAAATATTGTTATTTCTATCAAAGAAATAAAGCTCCGTGTATTCTGAATCAATTGAAGATGAATTAAAAGTTTCCAATTCCGACGCAAAACACGTTGATACATCGCCATGTTAGACCTGCAAAATTGCAAACACAAAAACTGTAGTAAAATGGGTGGCCAGCAGGAATATCTGCAAACCCTGAATGAGTCATATACCTAACAAGGCATCCTTCATAAAAATATAACTACCGGTCATTTTTGAGAATTTATAGGTTGATTTGTTTGTGGCCCGTGAGGCATGGCACTAGTTTTTATTTTTCTTTCTTTTCCAGTTTCCACATATTCTTTTGAAGTATATATTTAGTTTTGTTTTTAACCTGGTATTCAAACCATTTATGGCTTTAAAATCATTTAGAATTTTTTTTTTTAGCCTAGGTTAAACTAGATGTAGAACCTAGGTTAAACTAAAGAGCTAAGACATGGATCTCGGCAAAAGTTGATTCCACTTTGTAATAATAGCCTTCTATATAATGTGAAATACAAATGTGACATTGTACTGGGATAAGGTTCATAAATTAAGAAAAAGGCATCTCCTTATCATGTAACTGAAATCTATCGGAATAAATATCAACTATTCATTGATTTTTAATTATTCCTGAATTGGTCAAATACCCATTCTTGATTAATCAAGAAAAGCTAACCACATATGCATTTTGGGCTGTTGGCCCTCATCAGCGTGGTGTAAACGTACCTCAACGACCAAAAAAATTGGTCATGGCCACACGCAAGTATTTTCAGCGAAATTTTTAAAGAGGATTGATTTACCCCAACTGCTAGAATGAAGACCAAACAGTGGGTCATCTGCTCAGCTTTCTGATAGCAAAGAAATCAAATGGCCATGCTTCTATGAATTATTTATCTGTTCAACACTATTAATGTCTTGGATTCCCACAGTCATTGTAAATAAACCAAAAATATCTAAGTCTTACTGACAGCACATGGTTAGAGAGATCTTTTGAAAGAGCTTAAGGAACCTGGATTAATTAACATATATATTCTAATATCATAGTGTGTGAATGGTTTTATATAATGGGTTTAATATTGGTGTGCATTTTAAATATTTTTGTGAGATTTTGTATATATATTTAAACTTTTGTAAATTCTCATGACAAAACATATACAGTTAAACCTGTCTATAGTGCCCCCTCTTGGGACTCACCAAAATAGGGTGCTATAGACAGGTCACTTTTAATGTAAATCATATCGTTCTATGTATTTAAAATCGGGCGCTATAGAGAGGGAGCGCTATTTAGAGGGGGCGCTATAGACAGGTTTAACTGTTTTTTAAAAAGCTTAATTTAAATGCACTAAAAATAAAAATAAAATATTTCATCTCCTGTCATTGAGCAATTAGATGTATATGAGTGAAAATAAAATTAGGGGGGGGGGGGATGATCATATTTAGAGAAAAGAGAATTAAGCAAACACTAACAAAAATCTCTAATCAATTGCTGCATATTAAATCACATTAGGTTTGAAATTTATGATGATCTCTGCACACTTTTATTTTCACTTGTTCATATATAATTGCTCAATGGCAAGATATATTTTTTCCTTTTTAGTACATTTTAATAAAAGCTTTTTTAAAAATTTATTTTTTACTTATTATATAGACGCAATAGAAGCTTGTACAGCTTGATAGCTTTGAAGAACTGCTCTGTCAGACTCTGGTCTTATCCATTTGATGGAACATGTAGTTCAGGGACATTGCTTTGACACTAGATGAGGATGGAGCTGTCTGTCTTCATCACCAAGCCCGAGTCATGGTACCTTGGACAAATCCTTGCAGTTAGGTGGCAAACCATCATAATGTTGGCCAGTATTTTAAAGAATGATTTTCATTATCTGATAAGGCACAATTTGGATTATAGATTATAAATTATTACCATAGGATTTTCATTTATCTTTTTACATTTTTTTTTTGTTGCTTATCCTAAGAATTGCTAAGAATCGTAAAGCTGCGAACATTTTCAGCATATTGTTCTATTGGGTGAAGATATTTTATTTTTTTAATCTCAATGAATGTAAAAAAAAAGTGCGATTTATGTTAAAGACAACCTTAAGAGGCTAAAAGACTGAGTGCTCCAATGTAAGGAAAGCGATGACTGCCGAGGGTTTTGCTCAAGAGAGAAAGTTGAGATTTGTGGTTAGAGAACAAATGTTATAATTATGGAAAAAATATTTTTTTTTGCTTATCCCTAATACACGTGGTACAGTCCATGATAATCTTGGTGGGTAGAAGTAAGCGACTGCTTTTACTCTTAAGTGCACCACATGTCTACACATGTGAAAAGTAGTTCTACTTTGCACTTACAAATGTGCCAGAACACCGTTTTTTAATAAGTCTTGAAGTTTTCAATTTGAAATCTTTTTAATAAATAGTTTCAGTGAAATCGTATTTATCTTTTTCCAAGTGTCAAAGAAATTTTTGTTCAACCTTTTAATTCCATACCATTCTATTAGATCATTGAACCAATCCTAATTTCATCTACCTATCCCTTTATTCCCTCCAGTATGGTTAGTAGGTTAATGATTCTAGGTGTACATATCCTGAAAACCTATTGATTTGAGCTCTTTTTGATTACTTCTTTCAAAAGGCTTTACTCTCCATTACCCCAACTTTTTCGTTAGGGTTCAATATATAGATTTGAAAAGATTTACCACATTTTTTTCATCAAGGCCTCCTCTTTGTAATCCTTGAGCATCCAGCAAGCTCGGTTCTAGTCTTGTAATAGCAGACAGAAGATAGAAAAATAAGGCATAAATCAATTAAACAATTAAAAAAGGTTTTCGGAGATCAGTTTCTTTTTATTTCAAATTTAACATCAGGCGGCGTTTTATTCATTTTATATGTTCCTCCTGTAGAAGGGCAGAGATTCCCGAGATGGTATTCTATATACAGTTACGAGCGTCATGCGTCATCTCTTTCACCGTTTGCTTTTTCTTTGGAATGGCGCTCTCCTATTGGTTGGCTACGATCACGTGGCTACGATGGCGCCGGCACTACGCGAGACACTTTGTTTTTGACTTTGCTCCCCCCCCCCCACTCGCTTTTTGGTTTTTGTAACTATTGTGTTGGAGCGGGTCGCTCCTTAAATAAATGCATATATTAGTTAATAACTAAATGGAATCCTCTCTTTCTTTTTCTCAGTAAGAGACGCCTACGGAAGCCAACAGTACATAGACAGATAAAGCACATAGGCTATAGTTATTAACTAAAATATGCATTTATTTAAGGCGCCAATTTATAATTGTAACAAATAGAATTTGAATCAAAACATTCAATCGGGGGTAAAACACGGGTGTTGCCCGGGTCATTCGGCTAGTTTTAAATAAAAGAAACTCATCTCCGGAAACCTTTTTTAATTGTTTAATTAATGTCCAAGAGATTTAAATTAATTTAGGCATAAATCATCGTCAAGGAGAAAACAAATCACACACCACATCGGCGCTGATTTTGTGACTTATTCTAACACTTACAAAGTACAG